CTACCAACAATCAAGAAGTGTTCCTTCTTCCCTGCAACCTCTCTAGCATTTGTTATTGTTTGATTTCTTCGATATAGCTATCCTTTCTGGAGTGAGATGAAATCTCAGTATTGTTTTAATTTGCATTTTTTAAATGGCCAGTGATGTTGATCAATTTTTTATGTATTTATTGGCCATTTTTACTTTCTCATCTCAAAGTGTCAATTTATTTCAGGTGCCTATTTTTGGACTGGGCCTCTAAAGTGGGAGTGTCTACTTCCTCTGAGTTCTTTATATATTCTAGATATTAGTCTTTCATCTGATGAGTTGCAATTTTTTTCTCATTCTTTTGGTTGTCTCTTCACTCTGTTAGTGATTTCCTTGGCTGTGCAGAAACTTTTTGATTTGATATGATCCCACTTGTTGATTCTTGGTATTATTTCTTGTGCAACTGGGATTCTGTTCAGAAAGTCTTTGCCTACACCTATGTCGTCAAGAGTTTCTCTTATTTTGTCTTCTAGCAGATTGTTTCTGTTTTAATATTTAGATCTTTGCTCCTTTTTTATTTTAGTTTAGTGTATGTTGACAGATATGGGTCTAGATTCAATTGTCAGCATGTAGATATCCAGTTTTCCCAGAACCATTTGTTAAAGAGTCTATCTTTCCTCCAGGAAAAGTATTTAGCCCCTTTGTCAAATATAAGGTGTATGTACCTGGCCTTGTTTCTGCATTCACTATGCTGTTCTATTGACCCACAAATCTGATTTTTATGCCAATACCATGCTGTATTTTTCACTGTAGCTTTGTAGTATAACTTGAGGTTCAGAATTGTGATGTCTCCTGCCTTTCCCTTGTGGCCCAGAGCTGCTTTTGCTGTTCTAAGTCTATTCTGGATTTATATGGACTTCAGCATTGCCTTCTGTAGTTCTATAAGGACTGCTACTTGTATTTTGATTGGAATTGCATTAAATCTGTAGTAACAGTTTCAGGGGTTTTAGCTCAGTGGTTCTGCCACCTGCCTTGCAAGCACAAGGTCCTGAGTTTGATCTCCAGTACCAAACAAAACAAACAAATAAAAAACCAAAAAAAGAATGTATTAACAGTTTCAGAAGTATAGCCTTTTGACTATATTGGTTCTGTCTAACTGGGAACAGGGAATATCTTTGCATCTTTTGATGCCCTCTTCAATTTACTTTGTCAGAGTCCTGTAATTTTAATTGTAGAGGTCTTTCACTTCATTTTATTTGATGCTGTTATAAAAGGCATGTTTCCTTAATTTCTCTCAGTGAATTTTTTATTGGTGTACAGGAATGCTCTTGCCTTTTGAGTGTTGACTTTGTATCTTGCTGCACTACTACATTTGATTACTAATTCTAGGAGCCTTTTGGTGTTTTGGGGACTCTTCTCTGTAGAGGATCATGTCTGCAAATAATGATGTTATCCTTCTTCCTTTTCTGTACATATCCCTTTTATTTCTTTCCCTTGTCTCGTTGCTCTTTCTAAAGTTATGAGGTCTATATTGAATAGAAGTGGTGACAGCAGACATTGTTATCTTGTTCCCAATTTTAGAGGGAAAACTTTTATCTCCTCATCATTTAATATGATGTTGGCTGCTGGTTTTTCATAGATGGCTTTTAGCAAATTGAGATAAATATCTGCTATGTCTACTTTCTTCAGAGTTTTTATGAGTGGATGTGGGATTTTGTGAAATGCTTTTCTGTGTCTATTGAGACAATCATGTGATTTTTGACCTTGCTTCTGTTTATGTGTTGTATTATCTTTGTTGATTTGTATATATTGAACCATTCCTGCATCCCTGGGATGAAGCCTACTTGGATATGGTATATGATCTTCTTGATGATGTATTACATTCTCTTTGCCAATACCTTGTTGAGGATTTTTCATCTACGTTCATTAAAGAAATTGGCCTATAGTACTCTTTTTGGATAGGTCCTTTTCTGGTTTTGGAATCAGTGTAATGGTTGCCTCCAAGAATGACTTTAGGAGTACTGCTATCCTTTCAATTTTCTTAAAGAGTTTGAAGATCATTGGCGTTGTCTCTTTTCTAAAATTTTTATAGAATTTGACAGTGAATCCATCTGTATCTGAGCCCAATATCCTCTGGAAAAAGAGACAGTAGAGATGTAATTTCAAAGTATATGGGGGCTGGGAAGTCAGTGCCTCAGACTGAGCAAAGACCAAGACTCTCCATACTAGCCATCACTTATTGGGTACAGACAATTTTTGGAGGGAGTATCTTAGGGAATTTAGGGAACAGCAGCAATCCTTTGTTGTGGGAATCTCAGGCCAATGAGGGCAGAAAGGAGAGCATTCCCATAACAGTACGTGGGCTGAATTAAGCTGATAAGGAATTTGTCCCTCCTCCCTAGGTGAAACCTTTCTCTTTTTGTATTACTACTGGTTCTGAAAGAACCAGGATGTCTTCAGCTGATATAATCTTGCCCTTGAGCACTACAGCATCACTGACCACTGAAGCCTCAGTGGTGACTTAAGGCAAAACAGAGTTATGTTTCCCCGTGCCATAGCCAGCTCATGGACAAGGCAACATTGGGCCTTACACAGCTATAGTCATACTTTAATTATAAAATGATTTTTCTCCCAAATTTATGTAGAATGGCTCTTGACACATCTGGATCTGCATATTTATTAGTTGATAATTGTTTTACTTCCTGAATTTCAATGACTGATATTAGATTATTTAGTGAGTGCAGCCAGCCCAGGAGAGTCCATGTGGGCTGCAACCAATTTTTATTACTTCCTGAATTTCATTGACTGATATTAGATTATTTAGTGAGTGCAGCCAGCCCAGGAGAGTCCATGTGGGCTGCAACCAGCAAGGTTGCAATTAGTAGCCCAAGACATTTGAAACTCAAATCTCCTGAAACCTGTCACAGGTGGGTGTTGTACATGGAGATATAAGGTTTAATGTTTGCCCTGCTGGGTTTCAGTCTTGCCTTTGGCCCTATTCTTTCTATCATCTTATTCCTCTCTCTTGGAATGAATATGTTTACCTTATGCTGTTGCACATTGAAAGTATTTAACTTGCTTTTTGATTTGTGTATAGGCTTATAGCTAAGAGTTTGCCTTGAGTCTCAATGGAGACTTTGGACTTAGACTTTTCAGCAGTGCAGGAATTGTTAAGACTTTGGTAACTCCCAGAGTTTGGCTAAATGTATTTTGCATAATGAAATGAACATGAGTCTTTTGGTGCCAGGGGTGGATTGTTATGGTTCATTTCTGCAATGTCCCCTAAAAGTCTCCTGGGAGGTGATTGGATCATGGGGTTTCTATACTTACCAGTGGATTCATCATTGATGAGTTCAGCAGGTGAATGTGCTGTTAGGAGTCGGGGCCTTGTTGGGAGTGTGCTCCTGGAGGTGTGACCTGGGAAGGTGTATTCGTGTTCCTGTCCTACCTTCTTGCTTTGCTTCCCAGCAGGCATAATGTGAGCAGCTTTTCTCCACCAATCACATTCACCATACTGCTTCTACATTGGAGCCAGAAGACCATAGACTGAACTCAGTAAAACTGAGCCAAAATAAACCTCTTATCCTTTAAGTTGCAGGTGTCAAGTATTTTGTCCCACCAACAGGAAAGTGACTAGTATGAGTTGTATCACTGACTACTATATGAATTCCTACAATAGATCTCTGAAGTAGATGCTACTATTTTCCCCACTGTATATGGAAAATTAAGGAAAGTAGAGTTAAGTGATTTACCCATTGTCATCCATTTAACAAGTTGGAGGGCCAGCTTCAAACTCCAAGAAAGTAACTCAGGCTGGATTTACTGCAAGGCTGTACTGCCACTCCTAAAATGAAATTGAGCAAAGAAAATAAAGGAAAGAAGGAAAATGCTGCTAATATCAGATTACCTCAATTTCACTATTTTTACAAAGATAATAGATGCAATTCCAGCACCCTTTCTATTATCTTGATGTGCTCTGTGTCAGGTAAGATCTTTGGCTTGGGGCTTCTTGCACTCATCACAAGAAAGGAATCATATCACCTTAAAATCAACTGTGTCCCCACCCAGAGAGTGGTAGGCTTGAGTTCTGCTCACTTTTAAATACTTTTGACATCCCTGGCAGCCCTGGCCATCATCAGTACCACTTAACATATTTCCAAGGAGTCTGGTATGTTTGGGAGTGCCTCCTTGCCTCAGACTAAATTGGCCAATTCACAGGGCGAGGGCCTGAATCTCTTCTAGACTGGTTTGAACCTGTTTTGTGTACATAAGAATGAGAAATATTATACTTCTGTCACTTCATCCAATTAAGTGTTACATTTAATTTATTAATAGAACTGACAGCCTTAAGATAGGTCACCTGACTCTCTCTTCATTGGATGTCGTTTCAATGGACTTTGCAGCCCCTGTGATACCATTATACTCATTTCTGCCTTCTCGTTTCTTTAAATTGCATTAACTAAAATCACATAAGGTGAGATTGCATTGACTGTAACTGGTGACATTCGAGAGTTCCAATGCATCTGCAAAGCCCTGTACAGCCTGGCACTGAGCCATCTCCAAATGAAAAATCCATTTTTCTGGCAAGAAGCAATTGATGTGAACCTAGACTAACATGGTGTTAAAGAGGTCTATGAATTCATGCAGCTGACTGCTAGAATCCCAGTTGAGACAGTATAAAAAATGTTTTCCCTCATTGGATGTGTTGTGGATCAGTTTGAGCTTAACTTAGTTTAAATTCTGGCAAGTAGGGTTGGTAGTACTTATATTTGGATTTCTTCATCAAAATCCTGGCAATAAGTGATTTTAGCCCTATTATCTTCTAACCCCTTGACACCACTGTATATGTTAGCTTCCTGTATTAAGAAGGGAGAAAATGCGTTACTCCAGGAGTTCCATAGCTTTTCTACTTAGAATTCCTTTTTGTATGGGGCTAAATTTCATTTTCCGTGCATTTTTTTCTCTGTTCATTGCCTGGCAAGCAACGTTAGCTTCTCCTGTGACCTCACTTTGTTGCTTCCCCTTCTTCTCAGGGTCTATGGAGTCCCTGTTCCCCAACCAGGCTAAGCTTCCCTGAACACCCAACCGTGCCTGTGAATATGAACCACAGCCTTCGGAAGGAAAGAAAGACCATGGAACATTGCATCTGGTGAGGATTTTCACTTAAATTATCCAGTTCAATTTCTGCAGAGACAGTCTCTTGGGCTAATATTCTTTCACATGAGAAAACTGAAACTTTAAAGAGTTAAGTAATTTTCTGCAGGTTCCACAGTGAAGGAAGTCCCAAGACTTTAAAACCTGGTTCCTAAAGCCAGATCTGGGACCTCTTTAAAACCCTTATTAACTCTGTTCTGTTCAAAAGCAGCAAATGCCTCGTTATGATCCTTTTCCAAATTACAAAGAGGGAAAGGCTATAATCATATTTACAAATTCATTATCAAGCTGCTGCCATGCTCTCTTTCTCTTTTCACGTTTTAAAACTTTATTTGCATATTTAAAACTGTATTCCAAGCATTAAAATCATTCCCAAAACAACAACAACAACAACAACAAAGGCCCTATAATTAAAAACTGCATTTTACAGCCTACAGGACCCCTTGGATCAGCTTGGATTTTACTTCTGATTTCACCATCCCCCTTCCCAGCTTCTTTCTTCCCCAAGAAAAATTTCTTTTTCTTCCCTCCTGCCAGACAGGCAGAGGGGAGTTGTAGGTGCTGCCTATGTTCAGTAGGTCGCCATTCTTCGATGTGAAAAGACAGCACAGTCATTAAACTTGGTCTAAACCCTTGCATCTTATAAAGTTGAACAGTTACAAGGAGCACAGTGAAAAGTGTACAGTGCATCTCTCAGCCAGCCACCACTCAGACAGCCTTATTTCTGATCCCATACAAAGGAGGTGGCATATACCTCCTTACGATTTACCTGCTTGCTTCTGCTGTGCCGCTATTTCTTTTTTTTTTTAATCGAGTTTATTGATACATTTTAGGTAAACAATACGATGACATTCATCATTGGGAATTTGTACCTTTGCATGATATATCTTGGTCCTTATTTTCCCCCATTCCCTTGCCCTCCCTTCAACCCTTCCACCCCTCCTAGTCATAAAGACTTTATTTCCATTTTTTTCCTTTTATCATATTTTTTCCTTTACTTCTTTCCTTTCCGCGACCGCTCCCAGTGCCACTATTTCTTCTGAAGGCAGTGGACTTATCGCTTGCATTTTTGTCTTCTTCAATTTGGTTTGGCTGAACTTCTGGATCCCAGGTCCAAGTTTGTCAGACATGGTCACTCAGGAAGCTGAGCGGGGTGTGTGAGTGAGCAGAGTCAGCCAGGGTGGCCCAGTGGGTGCTATTCTTTCTTTTTCTTTTCTTTTCTTTTTTTTTTAGTATAGTTATATAATAAAACATGAAATCTTTTATTTTCAGTTACAATCTAGAAATTGTTAAACAAAGAATGATCACAAATGTTTACCAGAGTTCAAAGTATCTCTCACAGACAATGCACAACCTAATACCACATGCTCTGGTGAACCACATGTAACCAAGCTCAAATGTCAAGGTGGGACATTAGTCATGTACAAGTGTTAAGCTACTCATGACCTTGAACCTATGCACCTGTTATATGTAAAATATTTAAGAAAAGATTGTGTATCTCTTACATTAGCCACAATCTCCCATTAAAGTAAACAAATTACAGGCTCCATCCCCTGAGATTCTAATTCAATGGTCTCGAGGGTTGGAGACTTTTGTAGTTTGAAACATTCCCACTGCTCAAAGCCCTCCCTGACCTCCCTAACACATAATCCATGCTCTCCACATGTGGATATACCCAGCTGCCTATCCACTGCCCCCCAGGAGAGGGGGACATAAATGGAATAAACATGGGGAATTGGTGGAAATTTTCACTTTCCCCATTGACAAAAACTAATTACAAACTGTGACTTGAAGAGTAAAGCCATAAAATTTCATTCTTGACTGTAGAGTCTGTAAGGAAACGTGCTCTTCTCTGGGAAATGCCCTTTCTCTTCACCTCTATTCATAGGAAAGTCTCATTTTCATGTGGGTCCTCCTCTACTCTGCACTGGCTAAAGAAATAAGGTATAATAATGGCTGTGTTGTACAGGTGAAATCGCCAAAGAAATGAAAGCCCTAGTAGTGCACTGTGAGGTAATTGAGCATAGTGTTTCTCTTCTACTGGTGCATTGTATTTTAACTGGATAGAAACTCAAGCTAAAAGAATGAAACCCCGAGTCTCCAGTGAGTCCTGTTTCCTGATTCCCATGGAAAAGGGAAAAAAATGTGGACTTGGTTGACTTTTCAGTCCCTCAGTATCAAGAGCTCGAGCTCCAGCCCTGGTCAGAGCTTCTTTGCCCCCTCTTGCTGCTCTCATGGAAGAGCTTGCTCTTAGCATGGTGTCCAGATTTTTGTGTTTGTAGCATCCTTCTCCTCAGGTTATGCTTATAAGCTCTTTCTGAGAGCTATACCATTCATCACCTATCATCTTTCCTGTTCGATGTGTGTGTGCTCCTCATGTTATGAAATTGCTTCCTCGTTCTCTTCCTGCCTTCTGCAGACTCACTGAGCTATGTAGCTTGTCGTGTGCGTGTGTGTGTGTGTGCGTGCATGTGTGTGTGTGTGTGTGTGTGTTTGCTGGAAATTGAACCCAGGGATTTTTGCTAACCATGCATTCTATCTCTGAGTTACACCCAACCCTTCTTTCTGTTTCTTAAACACACCATGCTCCTTCCCGTGTTGGCACTTGCTATTTCCTCTGCTCAGAAAGCTCTTTCCTTTATATCTTCACGTAGCAACCTCCTTCTTCTCTACAAGTGTCAGGTCAGGAGCCACCTCTCAGACAGCCTTTTTCTAGATCCCATACAAAGAAGCCACTCCATCCCATCTGTTTGTTTATTTTGTTCATAGCACTTATCTATCTGAGGTTAGGTTTATTTTGGTCACTGCTACATTTCTAGCATCTAGAACAAGGGCCAGCAATAATAAGTAGTAAATAAATACTGATGTAATAATGAACAAAGAGTATTACCTAATAAAAGTTCAGTTTTCTCTTTCTCTTCACACCCGAAGCCATACCTTTAGGCAGGTTGATTGCCATCTTCCCCCTACTGCAACTGCTTTTTCTCTCTGGGTGGACTTGCAGTGTGTGTGGCAGGGATGTTGTCCTACTTATACCTTCTGTCATGTCTTTCACATTGAAGCTTCTCAGGAAATGTCCAAGCCACCCCTTCCTTTTTTAGTGCCAAGCAGATTCAAGAAATGCCATTTGGGTTCTTACAAATGGTGCAGCAAACTCACATTCTGTCTGCATGGACATACATGTTCCTTCATGTGGTAGGAAAGCACACCCTGCATCCCAACTCCTTCTATTAAATGTTTGTTTCACAAACAAGGCTACTGAGTGGTCACACAACAGCAATGTTGCTCATGGATAAAATAATCAGCATCTACTGTCTTATTCCTAATAACTTTGTTCTAACCTCTGGAACATTGACAGCATATCAGAATATCTTTCAAGAACAACCTCAGTGATGCCTAGATCTGTGCCCCTTTGGAGCAAGCAGTGAAATCCATTTCTATCTACAGCTTGGGGGTTTTTTTCCCACTAATGTGTTTGCTAACTTATATTTAAACCAAAATTCCTCTACCATTTTTGTTTTGAATAGTTTACCCTTTTCTTTTGCCACACAACTACGTGTAAAAATTTAATGTCATTTTCACATTTAGAGATTTTACTGTTTAGTCTCTTTTCCAAAACCCAATAAACCATTAAATTAAGTTGACTAGGATTAATGCATTAGAAAATACCGCATTTTGCATTTCTTCATTTAATAATATCCCAGCTCTTACTGCTTTGACATTAATTCTTTATACATAATAAAATTCTTTTCTTGCTCCTAGGATAATTAAATTAAGAAGTAATTATTGGTATGAAAATTGTTTGGAGATTGTTCCAAAAATAAAATACATTCACAATTCCCCTTTCTCCACAATTTTATTTTCTTTCTGAAAAAACTTCTATAGGTTAATCGGGTATTACTCTTTTCTTACAGATAATGGATTAGCTTTCCTGTACCTCACAAATATTCAGTAGTCCTGTTTTTCACTCATATTTCCTTTAATATATAGATAGCTCCTTTTTAGAGGCATTAGTCCCTCCCACTACTCCATTACTCAAGTATTGAGTAGGTTTAAACCCTAGTTTTAAATGTTTCATTGCCAAACATAGGAAATAAATACAAGGGAGCAATAAAAAGACCAAGGGCTGGGGAGATAGCTCTGTGGGTAAAGCACTTGCCTAACATGTACAAGGCCCTAGATTCAATCCTCAGTACCACCACACACACAAAAATCGCCAAGTTTAACTTACTATTTAAAAAAAAATTAGTATACATGGGAAAGATAGTTCTCACCAGCACTAATTAAATATTTCAAACATGCTTTTCCTTCCCTTTTCTCTTTTTTTTCTAGTTTTACCTCTTGATTGTTTCTGTTATCATTCTTTTATCTAGTATTGTTACAGCTCCTTCCTCAAGATTAATATTTTTCTTTACCTTTTATCTTTAACTCGGTAACTCTTTATTTTCATGCTTATGGTCAGTAGTTTTGACTTGAAATACTCATTCAGCTTCTGCTTATGGTCATTTATGTCACTCTGAGGCATTTTAAATGAACTTTAGTGCATTATTCCTTTTTTAAGAACTTCCAATGCTAGTTTAAACCTATTGTTCACTAGCATACTTCTCTAAACAATGAGCAAATAAAACATTGAATTTTTTTCCTTTTTTCTGCTGTCGTTGGTAGAAACTTAGTGCTCTTGATTTGTTAATAAGGCAAATAAATCCTCCTTTGAAAGGCTTGACAGGTGCTGTATTTGTGCTTAGAGTAATAACTAGAAATCCTGAGCTCCAAAGTAACAATTTTATAGAATGCTCCTTTAACCTTCGTTAATTGCAAAATAAACAGATCCATGGAGCTAAACCTTCAGGAATCTGCATTAGATGTTCAAAGCTTTTCAATGTTTTGAGAAGTCATCAAATATAACCCTTGTGTGAATTTGATTATTATTTGTTTTTAAAAGCCTTATTGAAATATAATTCATATACCATATAATTCATCTTTTAAAGTATTCAG